CTGCGAGCGCCTTCTCCGCCACCCGCTGGGCCAGGTCGTCCAGATCGCGATTCAGAGAGTGCACCTCCAGGGCGACCACCAGTCGACTGCGGTACTCGGCGATGCGCGCCTGCAGCTGCGCCCAGTTTTCATTCAGACTGTTTCGCTGTCCGTTAACTGTCTCCTCGCTGAAGAACTCATTGGCGCTGCACTGGTGAATCAGCTTATTGGCGAGGTTGTTCAGGTGCAGTATGCGATTCTCGTCCACCTTCATGTCTGTGCCGACGTCGTCGAGCTTGCGCAGCAGCGACTGACAGTGCTCAAAGTCCTCACCGGTCTCGTTGAACTGCAGCATTGCCCGCTTTTCGCGGATCCACGCCTCAATGGCGCCAATGTCGCGGTTAAACTCGTAGATGTCCTTGGCCTCTTCGAAGCCTTGCAGCGTTTCTCGCGAGAGGCCTACTAGGCGATCCCACTTTCTCAGCAGCGTGTCTCGCTGGCTGCGAATCTCAATCGACGAGGGATGGTTCTTTTTAATCAGATGGCCGGCCTTGGCCTGAATCTCAGTGATTCGAGAGGCATTGGCGTTGATCTCCGCCTCAAAGGTCTGGTGCTTCTGCAGCTTCTTCATCTTCGCCTCAATGTTCTGCTGGTCAGGACTGGTGGCGGCAAAGTGTCGCTCCTTCTCCATCGCCGCCTGCTTCTCGTCGATCCAGCCCTCAGTCTCGAGGACGTCTCGCTTGAACTGGACGGCAATCAGCGCATCGGCGAGCTCCTCTCGCCGCTCGGTGATGAGGGCGGCCAGCTTCTGGCGGCGAGCGAGCAGCTCTCCGAGCCGAACTTGAATGGTCTCTGCGTCAAAGTGCTGCTTCGCCACCAGCCGTCCGCCGCACTCCTCCACGCTGCGAAACTTGCCCTCCTGCGACTCAAAGACGCGGATAAAGTCGTCGAATTTGCGCAGGCCGGCGTCCACCTCTTCCACCGTCTGCCCAAAGTCGTGGGCAGAGGTGAGCCGGTTCTGGGCCTGCTGACAGAGATGATCCAGCTGCTTGACGTCTCGCAGGAAGCAGTTCAGGTCAATCAGCTGGTCAAGGTAGACGTTCTTCACCTGCCAGGCGGTGTGCAGCTGTCCTCGGGTGGCCAGCAGGCGTTCAGTGTGGCCCTTCACCTCAGGGTAGAAGGTCTTCGAGGTGAGACTGTTCGCCTCCGCCACCACGGCACTAAACTCCTCTTCGCGGCCGTCAATCTCCGCCTTGAGCCGTTCGTGAGCCACCTTAAGCGCCTGTGAGCTCTGAATATCTCGAACCGTCTCCAGCGTCTTCAGCTCGGAGAGCAGATTCAGCGCCCACTGCTCGAGGCGGCGGACGGCCGCTAGGAAGCGGTAGTACAGCTCGGCGTCAAAGAGACCCTCTCGCCGACGACGGCTCTTCTCCTTGAGGCCCTCCCAGTGCTCCACGACAATGGTCAGCTGCTCGCTGATGTTCTTTGCATTGCCGCCCGGGTAGGCGGCCTGCAGCTTGACGCTGTCGTTGATCATCACCTGCAGCTGCGCCTCCAGCACAACGAGGTCGTTTTCAAAGAGGTCGTGACGGCGAATGAGCGCCTGAACGGAGTGCGTGTCTCGGCCCAGGTCCGCTTCGGCCAGCGCCGTGCCCTTCTCCTTGATGCGCTCAAAGGCGTCGGCCACGTCGCGGTTGAAACGGTGAATCTTGACGGCGGCCAGAAAGTTCTGCTCCTTGATGTTGAGAATCTTCACCAGCTCGTTCCAGGCGTCGGTCACCTCGTCCATGCGCTTGCCCACCTCGCGACTGTCGTCGTCGGACTTGGAGAGGCTGGCGGCAAACTCGCCGCAGGCGTTGTACCGCTCCTCGGAGGACAGAATGGCTCGCTTCAGGTCAAAGAACTTGGCCTGCAGGAGAACGCAGTGCTCGTGGTCGCGGCCGTAGTCCTCGTTGAGCAGCGCCTGCTTCTGCGCGGCGACCCACGCGAGAAAGTCGGTGGACTCGCGGTGAAACTCGTGCAGCTTCTTCAGCTCAATCAGCGCCATGCTGCGCTCGTGGTTCTGCTTTTTGAGGCGCTTCATCTCAACCTGAAGGTCGTGCACGCGGCTGCGATACAGCTTCTGGTCCGCCTCGCTGATCATCGGCTGTCCCTCATTTTCAGCGACCAACTTCTCCACCTGTCGAGCGAGCTCCTCGGCCAGACCCGAGTAGGTGTCAATCTCCAGGTCGGCGGTCTTCTGCTTCTGTAGCAGCTTCACCACCGTGATCTCGTCGTTGCCAAAGATGGCGCCGTGGAGGACGTTCAGCTTCTCCGCCGTCCACTGCTCAATCTCGGCGCACTCGGCGAGAAACTGCTGCACACTGAGGGCGGCCTTGAGCGCCTGGTGGCGGCGGCCGGTCTCCTCCTGCAGCTGCGCCCAGGCCGCCTCCAGCTCGGCGGTCTTCTCGCCAATATTGCCCGCTCGGGAGAGTGGCGCCTGCAGGTGCTGTTGCTGCTGCTGCTTTCCGTCAGTCTGATCCCCACTTTCTTCTTCATTCTCCTTCTTCGCCGACATCAGCTGCTCTCCGCTGGCAATCACTCGTCGGATGCAGCTCTCGTGGCCCTCCACCTCGCGCACAAAGTTCTGCTCAAACTTCTTGATGGCATTCTGCGCCTCGGTTAAATTCTGCGGCACGTCGGCAGAGGTGGCCAGCGCCAGGTGCTCCCTGATCCACTGCAGCTCGCCGTTGACGTCAAACTCAAACTGGTAGTACTGGTTGGCCTCCTCGAGGCGCCGCCTTCGCTCGGCGAGGGGCTTCTTCAGGGCGGCAATCGTCTCCGTCAGCTGCTCGCCACTGCCCAGAATCGCCTCAGAGTTGAAATGGCCGTCCTCGGCGATGCGCTGGCCACGGTCGTCCAGTGAGGACAGTCGTCCGGTCAGCAGGTTCAGCTCATTTTCCGCCGCCTTGCACTGGGCCATCAGCTCGCGACAGCTGCGTCGACTGCTCCCGTAGTCCTCCGAATGGATCACAGCCTTCGTCAGCTCGCTGACTCGCTCCTGAACGACTTCCAGCGACTTGGCGTGCTCAATCTGAATGGCCGCCTGCTCAAAGAGGCGGCCTCGGTTCTCCACCGCTGCCACCAGCTTCTCCCACTGCTGCTGCACCTGATCGCCAATGGCCGCCAGCTCGCTCGAAGCGTAGCCCGTCTCGCCGCTCTTGTTCACCTCGGCAATGGTTCGAGTGATTCGGTCCAGCAGGCTCTTGTTGGCGCGAACCTCCGCCTCCACGGCCTGGTGTCGCTTTAGCTTTCGCTCCATGTTCGATTTGGCGTTAACCGGTCCCTTCTTCACCAGCTCCTCACCTTCGTCGTCTACGAGCAGCTTCGCCTTGGCGGCGCACCACCCGAGAAACTCGTCCGCGTCCGCTTTGATTTCCTGGTAGATCTTCGCCTCTCGCAGCAGTTTTCCGCGATTAAAGGCGCGCTCTTTCAGGTCCTTCCTCCGTTTAGAGACGTGTCGTCTGCGCTGTTCAATGTTCGCCTTGTCAAAGTGGCCGCTCTGCGCCAGCTTCTCGCCAAAGTCGTCAAAGTTGTGCACTCGCTGGTCCTGGGCGTTGAGCGTCGCCATAAAGGTGTCGTGCTGCTTGGCCAGCGAAGCCACGTCGTGCACATTGCTGCCCAGGTTGTCCAGGTCGAGGAAGGCGAGGTGCGAGTTGATGATCGTCTCCAGGTGATCCGCTTCCTGGTTGAAGACCACCAGATCGCGGCACTGCTTGAGGAAGGCCTCCTTCTCCGCCCAGTCCTTGTAGAGCGCCTGATAGTCTTCAGCTAGGCGCTCCACAGCGGCCACCTCTTCTGCGGGAATCTGGCGCGCCAGTTTGGCACTGAGCGTCTGCAGGTCCTTGACATCGTTCGCCTTGCCGTCCATCTCCTGCAGCAGGTCGTGGTGCTCCTTGCTGACTGAATCGAGGTTGAGCAGCAGCTCCTTCGGCGAGACGGCCGCCGTCGTTGGATCGTAGGCGAGCAGCGGGCGAACGTAGCCGGTCATCCAGGCCTGCACCTCCGCCGCCGAGTTCTTCAGAATCTGCAGGCCGATCATCTTGTCGAGGAGGGCGCGCTTCTGCACCGAACACGCCTTCAGCTCCTCCCAGAGGCGGTTCAGCTCGCGCAGGCGGCCCTGAACGTGCTCACGCTGCAGCGGATACGAGGAGCTGACATTCTCCGAGAGCATCATGATCCGCTTCAGGCTGTCCTCAATCGGCACTAGCTCCCGTTCAATGTTCTCGTGGCGACGCTGGAGCGCCTGCACCGTCTTCAGGTCGTGGCCGAGAACAAGCATGTCCTGGGCGTTGTTGATCTTCTCCAGCTTGTCGGCGATGCGCTCCGCCGCCTCGTCGCAGGCCGCATTGAAGACCTCCACCGTGCTGAGGCCCTCGATGTTCTTGCCGAGCTGCTTCTGCAGGAAGGTCAGGTTGTCCCACTTTTTGTGGAGCGCCTCCTGGCGCCGTCGAACCGTCGGGAGGTAAGCAGGCAGACGAACCTCCGCCGCCAGCTTGTCAATCTCCTCGAGGCGGGAGCGGTTGGCGAGCAGGTCGGTGATGAACTTCTCAAACTGGGCGCTCATCTGCTGACTGGCCGACTGCTGGCTGCCGTCCTGCTGCTTCCTCTTCTTCTCATCGTGGTAGACGCCATTCGCCTCGCGCAACGACCCCTCAAATGCGACGATCCACTCTTCGAGGGTGTCACACTCGCGATTGAAGCGAAACAACTTTGCCGACTCCTCCAGCGACTCGCGCCTATTTTGACAGGCCTCAACCAAATCTCGGTATTCGCCGTTGATGCGCTCCTTGCGCTGCTTCACCGTCTCCGTGCCGCTGCTGACGATGGAGAGGCGGCGTTTGCTGTGTCGCCGGTTGTAGGCCTTCTTCTTGGCGAGGCTTTTCGCCTTCTCCGCCGCCGTCTCCTCAGCAGTTGGCTTCTTCTGCCTGGCAATTCGACTTCGCTTGGGCGCCACCACTTTGACGTAGTTGGCGGGGACGAAGCCCTTCAGGGCGGGCGGATCCGCCTCTCGCCGGACGCTCCACCACTCCGGGGTGGTCTGGTCGAGCAGCAGCAGCACCTCGCCCTTCTTCACCGAGTAGTCGTTGTTGCCCTTGTAGTTGTAGAGCACCTGCACCTGCGGAATTTCAATCTCCTCGTAGACCACCGTCGGCACCGCCGCCTCCTCGGCAATGTCCTCGTCAATGTTCGTCTCGCCAGTGAGGTAGGCGGAGGCGAGGAAGGGGTCCTCGCAGAAGAGAAAGAGGTTCTCCACGCCCGAGGCGATCATCCGCTCTGACTGAGCGTTCAGTCGCTCAATGTCGTGGCTGTAGGCGGTGACCTCGTTTTCGAGGCGCGAATGGCGCTGCAGCAACGACGCCGCCGACTGCTCAGAGTCGCCGTAGTCCTCGGAGCGGGCCAGCTGCATTCGCTCCCGTAGCCAAGACTCCGCTTCATTGGCGTCCGCATGGTACTGGAAGGCCTCCATGGCGTCGGCGAGCTCCTTTGACTTTTGCCGAGTTGCCTCAAGCAGCTGCGTCCACTTGGCCAGAAGGGCAGTCAGCTTCTCCTCGACCAAAACCTTCTCCGAGTGATCACCTCCACCTCCTTCTGCTGCATCAATGAACGCCCTGCAGCGCTTCTCAATCTGCCGAACGCGACTCTCGTGTGCCCTCGCCTCCGCCTCAAAGGCATTGTGCTTCTGCTGGAGGGAGAGCATGCCGAGGAGGTCCTTGCCGGGGAGGATCGCCTGGCAGATGTTCTGCTTCTCCGAGAGGGCGGCGTCCTCCTCCTCGACGTCCTGCAGCAGTTGGTAGAAGTTGCGCAGCTTGGTCAGCTGCTCCCTCTTCGCCGCCGCCAGCTCCTTCAGCTCGGCGTAGGTGCGCTTCAGCGAGTCAATGCCCGAACGCAGCATGGGCAGCTCCTTCTCAATCAGCTGATTGTTTGAAGCGGGTGTTTTCGCCTTGCCGCCTTCGCCGCCCATCAGCCGAGTGGCAGTGGCCGTCAGCCGCTTGACCGTATCTCCGTGGGAGGCAATCTGCGCCTCCATCAGTGCCTGCGTCTGCAGACACTGCTCCACCGCTCGCAGGTGACCGACCGCCTTCAGGTGGGCGTCCAGGCCGAGCCGTCCCTTCAGCTCCCTCAGCTCGCTCTCCACAGTGCCAATCTCCTTGATGGAGGCCATAAAGGCGCTGGCCGCCGCCAGGCTGCTCTGGTGAGCTTGCAGCAGCGCCAACATTCGTTCCCACATTGCCTTAATCTCCGCCTCAATGCGCCGGACCGCCTCCAGGCCGTGATAGTTTCCGGCGGCCAGCTCGGCGACCATCGCCGAGAGCGCCTCAATGCGCTCCCCTCTCGAGGTGATGTCCACGCAAATGGCCTCGTGCTTCTTCACCGTCGCCTCCACCTGACTCAGATTGACTCCATATCGAGGATCGCTGAGCACGGCAATCATATCGCTGAGGTAGCCCTTTCGAATCTCGCTCTTTCGGTGAAAGCTCTGCGCCAGATTGTTCAGCTTTTCCAGCCGAATTGCCTCCTCTCGCAGCGCCAGCTCGCGCTTGTGCTCAGCTTTTTCTAAATTGATCCACGCCCGCGAAATGTCCTGCACCAGCTTTCCCTCGGGTGGACTGTAAGGCGCCTGCCCCAGCGCCTTCATCTTCGTCTGCACGCTGAAGAGCATCGCCTCAATTTCGCTGCGCTCTTTGTACTTCGGAGGCTTCTCCACCGTCCGGTACTCCTTAAACTGAATCGTCTCCTGGTGAATGCCCTCCAGGCTGTTGGGAAAGTCGCGGCTGTTCAGGGCGAAGATCTTCATCTGAATCCAATTGAGGAGGTTGGTGGTGAAGAGCTCGTAGTTGAGCTGACAGCGGTCAATCTCCATCAGCTGCGAGATGATGTTGGTGATGCGCTTGCCGCTGATAATCTCGCTGTTGTACTTCGCAAAAGTGTGGTAGAAGCTGCTGACGTAGGTGAGGATGGACCGCTCGTCGGGCTTTGGCACGTCGACGTCCTCCGCGTCGAGCAGCGGCTGAATCGCCAGGTGACGCTGGGCAATCTCAAAGGCGCTGTTCAGGTTCTCGAGGTGGGCGTTCGGGTTGAGGGCGCCGTAGTTGATCAGGTCGGGGCGCTGCGAGTGAATGAGCGCGTTGAAGGCCATGCCGTTTCGCCAGGACTGCGTGAAGTCGGCGATGCGCACATTGGGGTAGCCGTGCGTCTTCCGCTGGCACCACAGCAGCAGCGCCTCCTTCGAGGAGTGCACCTTCCGGTCCGTCTCGTCCTCCAGCTCAATCTCAATGTCCTGAATCTGAAAGCGCAGGATGATGGTCCAGAGGAGGCCGAGAATGAGGGTTTTGTTGCCGTCCACGACGTCCTCGGCGCCGATGCTCTCCAGTTTGACCTAGTGATAAATGGTAATAAATTGATTAGATTTGACTGTTTGCGTAAAAGTAACCAATTTCATTTGCTTACTTTGGTGTGGAGAAAGGCGAGACACTTGTTGAGGTTTTCAATCTTGTGCACACGCATCTTGCCGTTGTTTGGCTTGCCGAGCTTCTCGCCGCTGATAATCTCCAGCAGCTTCAGCAGCTTCTTGCCGTCGGCCAGGTCGACGAAAATGTCGTCCACCTCCATCTTGGCCTATTTAGTAAGTTGGCAGGTATGAAAAGAGAGCCCATGTGATCACCTAAAAACGCTTACCTTTTGAAGAAATGAGTTCATCCATTTTGTGAAGGTCTTCTTCTGAATGTACAGCCGCTCCTCGTGCAGCTGATTGATGCGGCACTGCTCGAATTTGTAGCTTTCGTTTGTCATGATTGCTTCTGCTGCCTAGTTGTAGAATTTTCTGTTGAAAAGGAGGAGAAGAAAGTTGTGTTAGTTTGTCAGTTGTGGTGATCACAAATCATGGCGCGGCTAAACCAACGGCAAAAAATAGAAGCTGTGCAAATACTGCAGTCATAAAGTCGCATTTTCTTTTCTCTCGGTTGCCGGCAAAAGAGTGAAAAGTAAGTGTTGAACAATGAGATTCTAAATGACGGTGGACAAACTTCGAACATCAGCAAGTTGGATAAATTGAGCAACATTGAGNAAAAAGTAAGTAAACACGCAGTCTTTTGGGCAAAGACAAACAAATTAGCCAAGTNGAAAAGTAAGTGTTGAACAATGAGATTCTAAATGACGGTGGACAAACTTCGAACATCA